AGTCACCAAAAATACAAATATGAGTAAGACCCCCTTTTTAACCATTTAGAATCTTTCATAGGAGAATGTTAGTGATCAGATAGTCACAGTCTAGTGCCATGCCATGGACAGTTAATAGGAAGAAAGCAAAAAAAAAAAAAAAGTGATGCAGAAGAGTACTAAGGATTGATTACTGAGGTAATCAAGGTAAATATTTTTTTAATTAAGCCAGAAGAAGTAGAAACGGAGAGGAGAAGGAAGAACCAAAAGGTGTTTAAGAGGCATAAATAGTGTGATTTGGTGAGAAATTGAGTGTAATAGAAAAGCTTCTAGCTTGAGGGGATGAAAGAATCGTACCATCATTATCCTGAATTGAGTCTATATGAGGAAAAATTAGTAGGGTTTAGAAGAGAGATGACTTTCAATTTTTATATATGGATGCTTTTTAATAGTTGTATGTATGTTTGTGCAAAATTCATGAGAAAGTTTGAGACTAGAGCTGAAGTTTTGGGTATTAATATTGTGGAGCTGGTAGTGGATGAAATCACACAACAACAAAAAGGAATGTTGTCAATGAAAGCCAAGAAAACAAACATTAAGAACTTGTTAGAGAAATTGCCGGAAAAACAGAAATGAATGAGATCATAGAAAACAAGAGAAAGGAATTTTAAGAAGGTGCCAACAACCTAAAGAGCTTCAAAAAAAAAGTTGCATAAGATAAAAACTAGGGGGAAAAAAATGTCCATTTAATGTGCCAATAGGTCAGGAGTGACCTTAACATGAACATTTACCTTAAGTGACATGAGCAGAAGATTGGTAGCAAGAAACCCATGAGTTAATATGTGGGGAAGAAGGAAAGATGTGAGTAGGACACTTTTTCTGGAAACTGAACAGATTTGAGATGGAAAGAGCTATACATGAAGTGATACGTAGATGCAGGAAGGGATTTTTACTCATTTGCTATTTCTATTATGGAAAAGGTTTGAGCATTTAGTTTAAAAGTTTCTGTGTCCATAGACCATGGGTCCACCTTAGCTGGTGTGGATTACTTATAGCTTACCTACAGAGCCACTGACCCTTGGCCAATGCTATGGAATGCATTAGCTAAAGATAAATGTTTTGAAACCATGGGCCTATAAATTGTTTCAGAACAAGATATATCAGCCTGCAAGTACTGTTTAGTAATAATAATTGGATTTATAATTGTACTTAATTTCAGAGTCTGGAGGAGGGGGCTTTCAAATTAAAGTCTGGCAGCATAGCTAGAATATACCTTTTATGAGGAGTTCATGATAAGAGATCTCCATCATGAGCAAATTTGAGTTTTCTGCTTAGGAGGTGCTTGAGATGTGTACACATATGGTTAGACCAAGAATACCTGTGTGACCCAGAGATGGGAGAATAAAGAAATCTATGCCTGAGATCTCTGGACCCTTCCCTGTGAATGTCTTTCTTCTATTGTTTCTGTGCTATATCCTTGCACACTTGTTCCAAGAGCATAAGCTAAGTAAACTAAGCTCTGTAAATCTGTGGAATACCGAGGGTGATTAACACATAATTAACACTGGCTAACATAATTTTAATAGCAAAAGTCCTCAGTTTTTCAGCCTCTTGAGTAATTTGTCACAAGTGTAATTTAGGGGCTCAATAATTACAATTACTGAGGCTAGGTTTTTTCTCAAGGAAAAAAAATAGAAATATAGTTACATTTTCACAAAACAAGTTTAAAAGAAAAAAAATTGTCCAGTTAACCATGAAATTTGTTACTAACAACAGCACAGGGATATTTGAATAACTGATTTTCCAGGCGAACTATTTGATTGGTTCATTAAGAGAATAATCTATTTTAGATATTCACACCTTCTTGGTTGTACTCTTTCACTGTATTTTCAGCTATTTATTCACCTCTCTATCTTCACTATGTAATTTCACATGCCCAAGCATCCCATCCATTTCTTTGGTTTATGATTAAAAAGCCAAAGTTTTTCCATCATCCTCAACAGTGGAGTGAATCCCTTCAGTTCACAGAGAAAACACTTTTAATTACCTCTGTTCACACAAAGATCCTATAAGTACTTAGGAAAGAAAGCCAGATGGCAATGTTCATAGATATAAACTAAGCGATACAAGTAGGAGACAGTTTAATAAAGTGCTAAAGGACATAGATTTAAAATCAGTTAGATGTGGAATAAAATTCCAGATGGGCTTCAAGGTATGACCCTGAGAAGGGTAATAAATTTGAGCATCAGTCTCCTCCACTGGAAAATGGTGAAAACAATAATGCTTCACAGTGTTACTATAAGGATTAATGTAACATATATATGCAAACTGTTTAGTCCACTGACGAGCATATAATAAGTGCTTAATAAATGGTAATGATTTAAATTCAGTGAATAAGGGTTCAATAGCAAAGTATATGTTTATGAATATAATCCTTAACCTTTCCAAATCTCTCCACATCTCAGTTTTTTCCAAATAGGAGAGTAAAATTAAATTTACTTAACTGAATTTTTATGAGCATGGAGGGACTGAATATATAAATGGTCAATGACCAGATCACATATAAAAATAGAATTCCAACCCACAATCTCTGCACCAAACCATCCAGAAGCCAAACCAAAGCCTCTGCAGCAAATCTTCCCCGAACAGTCAGTGCTTCGTCAGTTACTTCCAGCTCCCCTAATATCTGCCTGCACTTCTAATTTAGGACCAACCAGAGAAACCCAAATAAACTCCTCAAACCAACCTCAGAGGATGCTCCACTTGTAGTTAGCCCGCCTCTGGTTTCCCCATGTCAGCAGCTTCTGGTCAGAGCATACCTGAATCCTTTCTCTTTTCCACTATAAAACTTGACCACTCCTCTCTCTGTCTTTCAGTTTCTATCCTAAACAATGATGGTGGCTGACTCCCTTGCTATAGCAAGCTCTGGATAAAAAAACTGTTTTCATTTGGGTGGTCTTTTTTTCCACAACATTATAACTGAGGTTAACCTCAGTTCAATGCCAATTTTAAAAGGCCACATATATTTTATTAGTGTTATTATTGTGCAATAAACAGACATGATCATTAAGGCTCACCCATGCAACCACCTGCTTGTGGCTGTACTACTTTTCCATCAGGTATGTAATACAGATGCTCATGATCAATCCAGTTCTGTCCCTGCATTGTTAATCAAAACCCATTCTTTGACTGCTGTGAGAGTTCCAGGTGCTTAAACTCTCTTCTTTTCCTTTCTGATCATATGTCCTACCTTCTCTGTTTTGTCTGGACTCGTGTCTAGCATTCTAGCAATTCTCTAGTCAGCATTCTCATATACCTAGATAACTCTGAGTAGAAAAATACTCTTTTTTCCCCAGAAAGGGGACTCATTTCTTTTTGAGTGTTTCCCCACTCCATCCATGTGGTTTGATAGATGCTATGAATTCTAGTAGCCCATCCCAAACATGAATGCTGTAAAAACAGGCAGGTTGAACCAACTGGGGTCAAGAACAGTTGTCCTAGGGGATTTCTAGATTTTTCTTACTAGGTTTAAGACAGAATCTTTTAGTCTTAGAGCTCACAAATTCCCAATTTGTGAGATTTTCAGAGCTCTTGGAAGTCATGGTTCTAGCCTGGTGGAATAATACATTGTGAGAATGATGTCTGTATTCAAAAAGTAAAAGAAAGAAGAGTGTATGCAGATATCATTCACTGCTCTAGGAAACAGAGAAGAAAGAACAAAGTTTAGTTGAGTATGGGCTTACACTGAGTCTTAGACAAGAGCAGAGGAGAGAAAGCAGGGTTGTGGATAAGAGCCAATGCAGTTACCACCATGCCAAGACTTCACCCAGGGAGAAGGGGAGGATTAACTTCACACTCAGATTTTTAATAGTTTTGGAAACTAGCCAGATATGGTTAATAATAAAGCTTTCAGAATACAACAATAAAATGAGAACTGTTATATACCTGAGTATATATACATGAAAATGCGGCAGTCTCACATATAAATGTCTAGATAATTGTTCAGCATAAACTGAAAGTGAAAATCCTTCAGATTGTTGATGTGTCTTGACAATTAGCTATCCATTTTTCTCTGAGTTCCTGACTTTGGTAAGTTTGCTATTGCCATAGTAGGACCAAGAAAAATTATTGGGGTAGAGGGAGAATATCTCAAGAATGCTACACTTGGGTCAGGCTGCCCAGACATGTCATGCAGTAGTAAGTAGGCCTGGAAGCTACCAAATCAACTCACAAATATTTATTGAATAACCAATGAATGTCAAGAAAGAAATAATAGAAAATGCTTTGAATTGGGAGTCAGGAGACCCTTAGTCTTCCAGGTCTGAAATTTGCAAATTCTTGACTTTGATCAAGTCAATTAACAGGCTCTGAGCCTCGTTTTTCTCATCTGCTGAAGGGAGGGGTTACAGACCATCTCACTGGAGGCCTTATAGGAATCCAGCCACACAACAGGAGGTGAGCTGCATCCGGGAGCAAGCAAAGCTTCATCTGCTGCTCCCCATCGCTGGCATTACTGCCTGAACCATTCCCTTCCCCTCAAAAAAAAGTGTCCCAGAAACCAGTCCCTGATGCCAAAAAGATTGGGGACTGCTGAAAAGACAAAATCCCCAGCCTCTTTCCTAAGATGTGCAGTATTTGGGCAAGGCACTTGAAAGATGAAATATCAAAAGAGGAAATATAAATAATAATTCAAAGTAATAATACTCGAGCCCCTCACTATTATAAGCAAAATAAAAGGTAGAAATAATTATTTTAAAAGAATAAGACCTTAGGGATTCAATTTTAGACAACGTGAAGTTCAACTGGGCGGCCAGTGGAGGGAGACTTCCCCTGCCTGCCTAAGGCCCTGAGGATTTTTCTCATATGCTCGCTGAGTGACAGTTTCGCCTCAGCCTCCAGAAGGAGACTGATAGCTAAGGGATGGACCGAATGGGATAGTAACCCAGGCGGAGGCGGCCCAGGGTACTCGGGTCTGTATGCTGCCGTGTGGGCGGCTGGAGAGCTGGGAGCTCCGGACTCACCAGCTCATCTGTCTCACCACGCTTCGCCTGTCCACCCCGCCGGCTCCGCTGCGCCCGCGACCGAGGCCCCCGGGTCGGTTACCCGGTGTCCAGGCAACAGCGGCGGTAGCCGCTTGGGACCGCGGGCTCGCGCTCTGCGGTGCCTCCTAGCCGGTCCTGTGCCTGCCCCGCGTTTCCTCTGCGGACCCGTGCTGCCGGGCTCTGCGCGCNAGCTCAGTGAAATATACTGTGACCTGAAGTTAAAGTGTTTTCAAAGAAAGAGTCTTGGGCATTACAGTATGCTCACCAAATGTCTTCTTGGATGAAATCAAACACTAAACGATGGAATTGAAGATGGTTAAAAACATAAGATCAGAATAAAGATTAGTATTCTTATGTAGTCAAATCATACTTCCAGGCAACACTGGATACAGGCAAAGGTCTGGCAAGGTTAAGGAAGCAAAATCTATTACCTTAAGAGACAATTCAATTAGTAATCCTTTTTAGTGGAGGGGAGTCCGCAAGGCCATACCTGGAATAAGATCATTCCAGCCAAAGATGTAAAAGAGGAAGCAATAACAAGCAACCTGGAGAGAGGTCTTAATCTTAAATTCATATATGCAGAAGCAGAGCTCTTTTTGTAATTAAAAAATAGATTCCAGAATGCACTCTCCAGTTTCCCATCTTCCTCCATTAATTATTTAAATTTGACATGTTAGCAATACAATGTTAAATTTAAACCAAATGAATCATTTGCATACCAGTAAATATATATTCATGAGGGTTCAAATCATCTAAGTGAATATATTAAAACAATAGCTAGCCTTTTTTCCACCAAAAAAACTTTACCTACTAGAAACTTCTTTCTTGAAATTTTTTCACTTAATTAATTAGAACTCATTGATTCATAATTCCTATACATGCAATTATGGTAGAATTCTAAAGTGAACCCCAAGGACCCTGACTCCCTGGTATACATACTTTGAATACTTCTGGGCTTTTAATAGGATGGATTGTATTCTGGTAATTAGCTTGCTATATGACACCATTGGCTTTAAGGGAGATTATCCAGGGTGAGTTGGATTTAACTGGGTGAACCATTGAAAGGGGCTGGCCTCCTCTTGGAGTCAGAGATTTGAAACTTCAGAGGAGCATTGGACACAAGGGATATTCTTTTTGTCAGCTTTGAGGATTGAGAGGGCCTTAGCAAGAAATGTAAGCAGCCTCTAGGAGTTGAGTATGGTTCCAGCTGACAACCAGCAAGGAAACTGAGGACCTCAGTCCTATAACCTTCAAGGAACTGAATTTTACCAACAATCTAAATGGGCTTAGAAGAGGACACTGTGTTCCAAATGAGAATATATCCTGCCAACACCTTGATTTTAGCCTTGTGAACCCTGAGCAGACCACCCAGTTAGCCTCTCCTGGTTTTCTGACCTACAGAACTGTGAACTAATTGTGTTGTAGGCTGCTACATTTGTGCTATTTGTTACATAGCAATAGAAAATTTATACACCTATTAACTTACTTCAAATGAACAAAACTGGGAATTTTTTAATAAAGATACAGGGTTATCTCAAGAAACCCAGGGCAGGATTGTAGAAGAAACTCAAATGGACCAAACATCAGACACTGCAAAATGAAATCAGTACTAGACCTAGTGTCATAAAGAACACAGTGGATAAGGTTATCTTATTAGCAAATAGGAAAAACAGATTTTTTATGAAAATAAAACAGAAGTAGCTGATTTTTCTATAGCAAGAATAAAGGATAGATTGAAATATTAACCATACATACAGAAAATAATGATCAAATACATTCCCTGCAAAACTATCACTCAAGAATGAGAACAACAACAAAAACTCCATATTTTGAAAAAAAATGAAATTTACCATTGGCAGAGCTATACTGAACTATGTGCTTTAGGAAGAATGAAACTAATAAAGCTATTGAAAAGATGTGTGGTTAAATCTAAACAACCTGGCTATATGACAACAGTCAACCATCCACTTGTCTTCCAATTGTCTTTGGCTTTCTCTTCCTAATAATCTCCTATCCAATTAGTCCTTAAGACCTACACATGCAACTGTTTAATATATCTCCTGACAGTACTAGACTATTTCAAGAATTAGATTTAACAACAAAGTGCTCTGGGCCTCTTCTTTCTTACTTATACTGGAATTATTTAGAGCTGCTTTTAGATTAACTAAATGCATACCACACCTGCCATAGAAAATTGGCTGAATACTCCTATTTATTAATAATAATGTTTTATTAAGATGGACCAGACGGGTCCTCAGCAGACAATTGGAATTGGCATCTAATTATATCTAACAGAGTGGCATGATATAAATTTTTCTAAATTAAAAATTATTGTCTTTGGCAGACATTCTCCAAAATTCAATTTGCTTACATCAAATTACTTCTTACAGCAACTTAGCTCATTTTTATGTTGTAAGTAATTCATACTGATGTACAGTGAGAAAATAAGACATTCAAAAAGAGCACTACTGATGTTTTTCTATAATGATATATGATTCAAAATATTTCAAGATCAGAACCATTTTGCTCTATCATCAATGGTATAGAATTCAAAGGTAGTCTTATCTCTGTTCATGTGCTAAAGATTACCATTTATGCTTTCTAAATTAAATTTTAAATGACCCTAAAGGCTTAACATGTTTAGAGATATCTCTGTTGCCACCCTCTGTAAATTGTGGTAATTTATCCAAGTAAGTGCGTCTGAATTTTCATCATAAGATTACATCCATCTCATCTGCTTTTAATAAAGCATATGGATCTGCTTTCAATCCATATGCATTATAAAATACCTGCAATATAGTACTTCATCAGAGTACATAACCTCAAATTCTCTCTAGGCAGTTTTATTAAAAACTTGCCTGAAGGGATACTAGATGCAGAATATTTGTTGTTTTAAAGATGCAAAGTTATCTGCCTTTTCTAAATGTTTACAGCTCTTTTCCAGAATCAGATGCAGCCCACGTCAAATTACCTATTTGAGCATTATTAGCTTCCCACATAATGGGATCATTGTTACTGTGACATTAATCTTTCAACTTTTATCAAAAAGCACTCTGATTAAAAAGACATATGAAATGTGCCAATGCATTAATAATGGATGATAATGTCCATCATATCACTCAATGGACCCATACAAAATTCTGTGTAAGAAATTGGGTATCTGTGTGTGTATATGTGAGAGAGAGAGAGAGAGAGAGGGAGTGGGGGAGGAAGGGAGGGAAGGAAAGAGAGGTTGAGGAGACAGTATTAAAAGAGATTAAACAGGCAGTTGTTTAACTCAAGAAATCAGTATAAACTGTGTATAAATTATGAGATTTATATAGATATCTGAGTCTCTCCTTTTATCTTGTCTGCCAGACTCTAAGCTTAGTTTTAGCAACCATATTAGCCCTTTGGCCTTTATTTTCTACTGCAATAAACATTGCATTTGTTTTCATAGTATATTTTTATTGTTTGCATGTGTGCATGCTAAGTCACTTCAGTCATGTCCAACTCTTTGTGAACCAATGGTCCATAGCCCAATAGGCTCTTTTGTCCATGGGATTCTCCAGGCAAGAATACTGGAGTCAGTTGCTATGCCCTCCTCCAGGGGATCTTCCTGACCCAGGGATTGAACCTATAGGACCTTACATTTGTTGTGAGAAACAATGACTTATATCAACATAAATCAAATGTTTTTTTGACGGATACTGCTCAATATAACCCGTGAAAGTCCTATCATTCAATAAGCTATAAACATTAATTTCTGCACAACTGGGGGAAAATAAGTTGCTCTTTCTCATACAGTCATGATGCCGTCTGGTCCATAACACTGTCTTAGCACATTGAAATGTTGCCTATAAGATAGCGTTGACTAAAACAGAATCTAGTGTGTTAGAATTAATCTCAGTAGTGAAAAGTAGCAGACTTGCAGTCTGCTGAAGGCACAGTACTCACATCTCCAACCTAAGCAGCATAGTGAAGAATTATTCTGGTGGTTTTGGTATATTAGCTATGCCAGAATCCCTATCTCAACTATGTGTGCAAAGCAGAACTTTTGGTACCAGGCACCATATTAGATTTGAATGTCTTTACCTCTTGATTTTTCCATCCTCTTTCAAGGGGTAGAGTCCTAATATTCTTGTGGGAAACTGTCTCATCATCAAACAAGTCATGTAAGAGAGATGAATAGATAAATAAGTACATCCATACATATATCATGAGCAAGTCTCATGAAGTACCTTTCATTAAAAACATTAATGAAAGGGGAATAAAAGAATCTCCTATCTCTGCTCAAAGCTGTGTATCTGTGATCAATGAGAAGGATCATTTGTAATTTCTAAGTTTACTCATTGATATTTTGCTTTTCCTGAGAAAGTTCTGGATAACAAATTGTATTATTTATGCTATTATCTATTTGTGCACCGTTGGTGGTGTGGTGGTGAGTATAGCTGCCTTCCAAGCAGTTGATCCGGGGTCGATTCCTGGCCAATGCAGTGGGCCGACTTGGGCTGCCCTGGTGGCTCAACTGGTGAAGAATATTGAATACTGCCACATGCCAGCCTCTGTCCATTCCTCTACTCAGATCTACCTCTTGGGTAGATATTATCCCCCCCTTTTTAAGTGAGATTGTCATTTAGAATAAGTTCAATGACTGGCCCAGAGGCACAATTAGTAATTAATGAAGTAATACTCACACAAAATTGTGACTAAAATCAGTGCTCTTCACAACACACCACTCACAGAGCCTGTTTTATAGGAAAATATAAAAGCTTATCCCCAAATAGGTGTTTAATTATTGTTTACTCCACTTATGTCCTGTGAAACATGAACCAGACAAGATCATCATAATAATCAAGAAGGACATGAGGTTCAGAGTCAGAAGGAAAAAAAAAACCTCTTTTCTTTAGTTGGGATTCTGTCAGGAAGTAGATGAAACACTCAAGAAATGAGTGTTTTAGTTTTGGTTTATTAAACTTATTTACACAGAGCACCAGACAGTATAGAATTATAGAAGCAGTATAGAATTAGTTGAAAGCAGACTTAGATTAGTTGTAAATGTACTCTGAAAAATCTAT